GGCCCCAGTGGACAGCCAGCTGTCCTGTATCTCCTGAGAGTTCTATCCATCCATACAATCCTGATACAACACCATGTCTTCTGCGCCACCCCTTTTGGTTACATGCTGTTAGAAGTGATGTCATTCAAAGGCCTCCTCTAGGAAGCCTTCTAGGATTGCCCAAGGCCCACCTAAACTCTTCTCCTTCGGTATTCCATAGACTATTCTACCAGTCCAGCAGCAACTAAAACTCCTTACTGAGGCTGGGGGTGGGGGAGTAAGGCCTGGTGGCAGACCTCTTGCCTAGCATGGGAGAGGCCTCGGTTCCATCCCCAGCACCATATACACAAATAAAAGCTCTTGGGATGAGTCACCAGCGCATGGCTGCAGTCAGAATGTCCATCATTTTTGCAGAACTCTCCGTCCCCTGCATGGCCTACTCAGTGCTCGCCCACCATGCGGACCGGAAAACTGAGTCACAGGGAGGCAAAGCCATTGACAGTCACCTGGGTGGGAGGAGACAAGGACAGGGCTCCTGCTGGCTCCAGAGTCCTTCCCCGCTGTGAAGAGAGGCATGGAAGAAGCTACACTGCTACTCACTTAACAGCTCGGCCAGCTGGGGATGGAAGAGCAGGCAGCATCCCGCCCCACCTGAATCCCAAACCATCCCCCTCTGCTGAGTCACCGCCTCCTCAGCCCTCACAGGGAGGAGGGAAATCAATACCCTTCGCCTATCAAGGCAAATGAACCGAACCTGAGAGGGCCCCCCAAGGCCACGGCCAACGTTCAGGACCTCCGGACTGCACCTCACTGTGGTTAAGACAACATTTCCTTCCTATCACCCCCAATATTCCTGAGGCGCTGGACAGAAGAAGGGCTGCATGCCTCTTTGCGCCCAGATCCTCAGTGTGGCCCCGAGGCTATTTGGGGACAGCGCTGAACCACTGGGCTGAGAAGTCAAGGGGAGAAGCTGGGGTCACGAAAGCCACTCTGTTGGCATTCACACTGTCCCTGGTCTACGGCAGGGCTGCCGTCCTCCAAGGGCCACCACGATCTCAAACATCCCCAGCAAGGGCCCAAGGGTTAGCCCAGGAGGCCGTTAGCCGTGGAGGCCAGGTGAGCGGGCAAGGCACACTGACCCTCCCACTCCTTGACCTTGGGAGTGCCTCACAGACTCACCCAGGATCCTCTCCTGCATTAAGCAGAAATGGAGTTTAGCACGCCCTTCCCATCTGGTAACCTGCAGCCATGCCGGGAGCCCACAACTCTGCCCTCAGCTCCTTCCTTAGACATAAAGGTGAACATTATAGATGAAGAGACAGAGGTTCCGAGAGGTTAAGAAACTTGCCTCACATCACACAGCCTGAAGGGCAAAGAAATGGAATTTAAGCCTGGGAAAGCTGGTGTGAGTGGTCCAGGCTTTGGGGACCTATCTATAAATGAGGGGTTCAGAAAGGTGGTTTGGGGGGTTTCTTTAGGATCTCCTTGAGCCTTCCCAGGGGGCTGCCTTCTAAACTAAGTCCTTCCCAAGGCTCGAAACCCATCTACAGGAACTCCTTCCGGCACCTACTGCATTCTTATGCCACGGGGTTGGGGTCAAAGGGGAGCTGTGGCCTATCAGAGAGCCTGGCCTCTGCGGCAGAGCACCACGCAGCAGGGTCCAGGGTCCAGTGGAGCTAGGTGCCAGATGTGGAACAAGACTTCACCGTGCCCACAAAAGACTATAAAGACAGCTACAACCACGAGGGTCAGGCGCCAGCAGCCACGGAGCCCAAGGCAGGACTTGACTGGGAGAAGGATGAGCAGAGGTGGTCCGAGCCACCCACCACACCCGCAAAGCATCCCTGTCCCTCCAGTGAGACGCCCAAGCCACTTACCGTAGCTACTGATGGAGAACGGGGGGGGGGGGCGGGGGGCGCGGGGGGCTGCCTGCTGAGACCACCGCATCCCAGAAGCGGCATACAGACACTGGAAGCCGTGCCTGGAACTTTCAGGTCACCTGAGCTAGTCACACTCCTCATCTGTAGGAGCGGGTGCCCCTTACACAGGTCCACAAGAGTTGAACTGTGACTAGAGAGCAGCCACGCGTCTCCCTCAGTCTCCCTCGCCGTGTGGGGTTCCAGGGAAACCCACAGGGGTTCTCCACACCGAACTAGCGCTCTGTCGCTGACACGGGTCCCCTGCATCAGGTACAGCCCAGAAGAACTCACTCAACGGATGAATGAAGGACAGTGACCAAGTGGGAGTGTCAACCCCACCCCCTGGCCTCTAACCCACCCCCTGGCCTTGGCGTCTCATATTTCCGGCTATCATACACACAGTTTGGTGACCACCTCTAAAGGAATTTCTGGCCTCCAAGGCCTGCAGGGTTGGGGACACACAGATTCCTGTCATTACCCTGTTATGAGCTGCCAGGCTGGGCCTGAACCTAGCAGCTCCCCTGGCCACAGTAGGTGCTCAGGACACTCCCACCCAGCCACCCGACCTGACCTTCTGCTAGGGCTGTGCATGGATCTCCCAAAGCCTAAAGCCCGTCTCCATCCCAGGGAAGAGGCTCCGGCCACAAGCCCCTTGGATGAGAGAGCGCCCCTGTAGGCAGGACACAGGAACACTTATCTCAGACTGCTGAGGATAAAATACAGAACAGCCCCTCTGTCCAGGTTAAGACGTGACCTGCAGATTGTCTCAATGCCTTCATTATACCGGCAAGGACAACTCTGTCACTAAAATGAAACAATAAGGACATTTCAGAAATCACTTACCATGCCATCCGCCATGTTAAATGGGTAACGTGGAGTCAGCAAGACTACTCGGTGAGTAAGGCTCACAGCCTGAGTTTGATCCCTGGGACCCACAGGGTGGCAGGAGAGAACTGACCCCCACAAGCTGTCCTCTGACCTCCACGTATGTCCTGTGACATGTGCACATGCCTGCCTATACACACCTGATTTTTTAAACACTAAAAAAATGTAAGTAGCTAGAGAGGCAGGCAGAGAGGCTAAGCAGCAGGCTCAAGGTCACCCAGCACCTACCGAGGCCTGGGCTTCAGCAGCAACCGAGGCCTGGGCTTCAGCAGCAACCTGCATGATGGGATTAAGTGGGGACTGCTCTGAGGAGTCTGTGGCTACCCGCCACACATGTGGCAGGTCTGAGCAGCCACCCAGGCCACGCATGGTGCTCACCCCTGAGCCCTTCATGGCGGCTGCAGAGTGGGTTGACTCTGGGCATTGCACGGGGCAACACCGCTCCACCCTCCCCTCTGAGGTCTGCCGCCACCACTCACATGTCAGTCGGCTCTGCAGAGAGCAAGCGACAGTCTGGGTGGCCACGGCCACCACAGGCCAGCAAGTGGCTGAACCGAGGATGAGTGAGCACTGCCAGGGCCTCTCCTGCCAACTGCTTCTGCCCTGGCTGCAGCCCAGGGCGGCTTCCGCCAAGTCTGTACCCGCTGTGCCAGTTTACTGGAGAGAGGAGGGCACATCGGCCCACCCACAGGGGATACCGCCCTGCAACCCCACATCATGCCGCCACGGGCCTGTACCCCAGCACAAGCAGGGTGGCAGAGAAGCGGCCTCCACGCTGGGTTTGACAATGGGAGCATGGAAGTGCTTTCCAGGCTGGGGGATGTTTTAATCTGCTCTCCACTGTTCCAGAAATAACAACAATAGTGCCTGCTCTGTAACCTTTTATGTAAAATGAGGAGACACACTCACAGTATCACCAAGCAGTAGGTGCGGTTAAATAATAACGCTACTTGATTAAGCAAGGTAAGGAAACTGAGGAACGTACAGAACGACCTGGCTTGGGTCGCACATAGTTAGGACGCACAATGCACACCAGCTGGTCACGCAGACCTGGACTGATCAAAAAAGGCCTTCTCAATAACAAACAACAAACGCCACCGGCCCCGGGCACCGTGCCAACTCCATTTTCCAGCCGAGGCAGTGAGACGCAGAGAGACCAAATAACATGCTCAAGGCCACACAGCATTTGAAGCCAGACTCTGGCTGTATGCACCACACACAGGCTGAGTCCGCTGCATGATGCAAGGTGCCTGACTTCTACTCTGTGACGTTACCATCTCCCCATCCAGCCACCTGCTCTGCAGAGGGTAGGACCTAAAATGGGCAGACCCATGCAGAGGAGCAGCCGGGCAGCCACCAGGCTCCCTGAAGAATAAAAGGGCAGGTTCTATCCCAAAGAGTACTGAGTCATCCTGATGACCTCCAGGGCTGGAGACATCTTCCTTGAAGGAGCTGTTGGGAAAGCCCGGGGACAGGGCAGCATTGGTCAGCCATGGGGCCACAACACCCACAATACCACAGACGGCAAGCATATCTAATCCTCCCTAGCAGGGCCAGGTGGAGTGACAGAGCCACAGGTCCATCTGGGACCAGCTGGGGTGCAACCTGCCTGCTCCCCTCAGCCAGCACCAGCTTTCCAAGGCCAGGCAGGCCCATGGCATCCCCGCTCTGGCAGGAGCCAAGACTGCCACGTGCACACACACACACACACACAGCTCACATGTGCCAAACACGCTCACGTGTGCCCTCACCATCACTTACCCAGAACGCTCACACACTGCGCACCCACACAGTGCACTGTCCGAGTGCCCTGTGCGCACACACATGTTCAAAGACACTTGTATATGCACACCGGCATACGCTCGAACATGTCCATACCCTGAGACACACACACACACACACACACACACATGCAGCCGCAGGAACCCACAATTACAGACTTGTGTCCCCGCCCCAAGGCCACACAGGGTGTGGATCCACGAGTAGCCACACCCATGGCCACCTCCTGAGGACAGGCACAGACCCTAGAAGCCGTAACTCCTGAACACACGTGCAGACTTCCATCCCATCTCCCATGCAGGTGACTCTCCAAGCCATGACTTGAGGGTAAAAACCAGAGCCACACATGGGCCCCCCCACACACACAGTAGGCAGGACACAGACAGAGGCAGGGACACGGTCTTGAATCTGGCTCAGCCCACACCCTCCTGTACTCACCCTGCCCTCTCGAGAGCCACCAATGTAGCAATGTCCAGTGACAGTCGGAGATGGCAGGGGTGGGCGGCGTGAGCCCCTCCGAGAGCGAGCGGAGCGAGGGCCGTCAGCAGCCTCAGCACATGCAAAGAATGTGCAAAAATAAATGCGAAAGGCTGCTAGCGGCCCTTCCCACAGGACTCGGAGCTGACGCAGGTTCTGCTCCGCAACAAGCATCTTCCTTCTAATTTTAAAGGCAGTGGCATTACCTCCTCGGCTCTCAAGACAGCTAGATGCCGCCCCACCCCCTGCACTGACCACCGGAGTACCGTGTCCCAGACTCCAGCCCTGGGACACACTGGTTGCTAGTTCAACTTACATTGTCCCTGCAGGCCCCACGAAGGTGGCCAGGGTGGCCAGAAGCTCCAAACCTACAATGACACCTCAGCCCTCCCCCAAGCCGTATCTCAGTGAGTTGGATCCCTGTGGCCCAGCCCTGGTTCTCACGTTAGCAACACATACCCAGGCTTTCCATGGCAGGATCTGACAGCGGGGGACAGGATATGAAGTGGGGCTCCATTAGCCGCCCACAAAGCACCTACCCCCACGCCGTCACACCTCACACCTCCCCATAGGGCCCAGCCTGGACCCAGCAACAGCTCCCATGAGAAGGGAGACCACACCGGCCCCGAGTGGATGAGCCCAAGGCAAAGACCCCAAATACTAGCTTAGCCGGGGCTTTGCTCCAGCCCTGGGGGCCCCAGGCCCTCTGGGCTGTGACTCTGCCATAAAGGCCACCCCGGCCTTTGCTTCAGTGGCCTCCTCCCACTGAAACACACTAGGCCACCTCTGAGCCTCCATGTCACTCTGTACCCCAGCTGGGGGCCTGAGGTCCTTGTCCAGCAGGACAGCCTCGCTCCCATCTTCACTGGGACTTATAACACAGACTGCTGTCCCCATCCAGGCAGCCGGCCTCGGACCACCTACCCACAGCTCTTGAGCCTCCCAGCTCCTAGCTCAAGCCGGTTTCCCCCACCTGCCTCATTCTAGGTCTATCCTATCCTGGGACTCCCTGCCGCGAACCACTAGATCTGGGTATTGATGGATACATGAAGAATATGGGCCAATAACAGCCCAGAGCTTAGGTCTTCCTTCCACAGATGCCAGAGAGAACCAGTCAAGACAGACACAACCAAGGACACGCTAAAGGGAGGGAGGCGACACAGGCTTTGGGCTTTTACCTATTCTGCTAAGGGACACCAGGTCAGACCCATACGCGCCTAGTGGGCAACAGAAACACTAGCGGGTGACTCTCTGTGGCTCCGACGGTACTCCGGGACTCTCGGTCTCCAGTCTTAGGACCCTGGACCCGGGCCTGGCCCGCTGCAGCAGCAGCTCCTGCCGGCTCTTCCTGCCCCACAGCCCTGCTCTCCGTGGTGGCATGAGAGCTCTCTGGAAAAAGTCCAGCACACGAGCCACCATGCTGCAGCTCACACCACAGCACAGCTCCCTGGAAGCCCCCTCAGGCCCAACACACGCTCACCCAGACCCCATTGCAAGCTCCCCTGAGCCCCAACAAACTGGCAAAGAGCCTGCCCTATTTCTAGCACACCGTGAAGTTTCTGGGTGTCCATCAGCCCCAACCCTGTGCCTGGACCAGCAGCATGTGGCTCCTGTGGCTGCTTCCAGTCCTGGCCCTGAGTGCGGTCGAGCGTGGTGTCCCTGGCCTGCACTGAGATGGGCGGGCTTCCCCACTATCCCTGTCACAGCAGGCTGTCTTAGTTATCTGGCACCTCCCATGCAGCCTAGACACATTCGTTATTGCTGCCATGATTAATACAATTTTAAAGCTCCCCCACTGCTGCTGGTGCCCTGTGCCTGGCTCCCAGATTAGTTTGTTTTTAATAAACAAAGCCAAAAAGAGAGATCCAAGTGTCTTTGTTTTCTCCCTGGCGCCCCAGGCTGAGGGGGAGGGCTGGGGAGCAGTGTGGGAAGGGGGGGCGGGAAAGGGGGCAGGAGGAGGGTGGGTGGTGAGACAGAGTATCTATGACCCTCGGGCCCAGACCAGAATAATGTGGATCTCACGGCCTAGTCACCCCTGGGGCTCAGGTGGCACCGAGGAGCCCACAGGCTTATCAGGAGAACTCTGCCATGGAAGTCAAGAGAGGTTCTGTGTGAGAAGGCACAAGGGAGGGGCCTGTGGGCAGGAGGCTTCTTTTCAGACTCTCAAGCTATCACATGGGCAGCACCGGCCTGGGTCCTGGCCTCCATCACTCAAGCATGGCGGCCACTGGGAGGGTTGCCCAGGACAGCAGGGGCGGTGGGTAGAGAGCCAAGCGCAGCAGCTACAGAACCCGGCCTTGGTTCAGCTCCTCCTTGCCCATGTAAACGGCTCTGTCTTGGCCCCTATGAGAGGTCACAAGGGCATGGACCAGGCTCCAGGGGCATCGATGCTTGCCCCCTGGGAAATTCCTGCTCTTCCCACTGATGGGGAGCCCAGGAGCACTGGCAATCCTAGGGCTGACAATCCTAGGGCTGGCACTCACTCACAATCCTCTGCATTCAGGGTTAGCCATGCCCCAGGCACTCCCACCTGGACCCAGATGCATCTAAGACCCCACAGGAAGAAATGCAGCCTGACGGGGAGCTGTGCTGAGTCACCTCACTCCCCAGGCCAAACCTGGGGCTAGAGCTCTGACCAAGAATGTTCAGAGTCCACTGGTCCAAAGTTTCTCCGACTGTGGTTTCAAGGTATCAGTAGGGAGCTAGGCATAGCGGTGCACACCTTGAATCCTGACACTCGGGAGGCAGAGGCAGCGGATCCCTGTGAGTCTGGGGCCAGCCTGGTCTGCAGAGTGAGTTCCAGGACAGCCAGAGCCACAATTGTGAGACTTTTTTCTCAGAAAAACAAAAAGATACTGGGGGGGAGTAATAGTGCCCAAACAAAGTAGACAGAAGCCATGAGCTTCCTGGGGCCACAGAGAATAAGTGTGGGACCTCATACAGCATTGGTGAGGCCATGACTTAGAGAACAGCCCGGAACGCTCCTCCCTGGATCCTCTCACTTGCCCCTCATGACAAGCCCAGGTGAAAAGTCAGGGGACACTTTACAAATGAGCAAACAAATGTAAAACAGGTGACTCATGTATCCTTGCCTCCATTTAAAAAACCTAAGACCAAACAACAAAAAACCAAAACCCGTGACGGGTCAGGACACTGACCTGAAGCTGTATGGCATATCACTGACCAGAACTTGATCCCAACTGTCCCTGAGTTTTGTGCTCTTAAACACAGCCATCCTCTTCCCAGGAAAACCAGCAGTGAGTCATTCAACAGAAGCTGTCATGAGAAATGGCAGTGTTGGGGGGTGGGGGGAAGGGGGGAAGACAACAAGGACATGATACAGCCAGGTGATATGGGCCAGAGACAACTTAAGGTGCACCCCACAACTAGCAAACCTGTCCAAACTTCAGGTCTCACAGGCAAGCAGACCCACACCACAGAACCCCATCATACTGTCGTTGCTTTTTTTTTTTTTTTTAACGAGACAGGGTTTCTCTGTATTGTTTTGGAGGCTGTCGGTCCAGCCCGGCCTCGAACTCACAGAGATCCGCCTGCCTCTGCCTCCCGAGTGCTGGGATTGAAGGCGTGCGCCACCACCGCCCGGCTGCTGTCGTTGCTTTAAATGGTGGCACCACCAGGAGCCAGGCCCTGCTGTTAGCCAGAGCAGGAAGAAAAGGCATGCATCTCAGATCCACATTCCAAGGATCCAAGGACCCCTCCTGACTCCAACAATGACCCTCATCTAGACTCCCCAGGCTGGGTGACAGCACAGTGGCCCAGGACCACAGTCTCCTGTTCCTCCCCGTTCCCACAGACCTGGTGATCCCGCCACGGTTGACCTGACACCCCTGTGACACAGAGGGTCAAGACTCCCGAGGTGATGTTACCAGCCACCCAATCCATCAGTGGCCAATACTTACTTAACCCGAAGCCACCCGGGAAGCCCTTCTCCATCCGTCCCCTCCTGGAGGGGCTGTGAGACACAACCCTGCAGACACAGGGTTGGCAGGCACAGGAAACACAGTTCTCAAGCAGCTTGAGGTGAGCATAAAGGCCCAGGCAAGCTCCCGCTTCACCAGGCAGCATTTGGTCTGCACAAAGCAAAACCTCTGTGGCCACAGCCAGAGCGATGATCAGCTGTGGAGTCACTGGGGGAGAATAAGGAAGACCGACATCTCGTGGGAGGCGTCCCTCCGAGTCTTAGGAGGGAAGATGGACAAGTGGCCACTTTGCTCCAAAACTAACCCTAAGGGCGTAGGCATCTGTGCCACAAGTTTCTAGCCCAGGACGCACTTGCTGCCCCTGCCCAGCTAATGACTTCAACATCTTAGGCACTGGGGTTATTTTTATTTTCTCAAAGTGGGATTTTTCCCCCCACTACTTTTAGAAGTGGCAGACGGGGCCTGTCTATTATAAAATATTTGTTGCAAACACACGCGCGCTCACCCCCGCCCCGCGCTCACCACCCCACACACAGTTTCTCATCCGTGTAAAGATCTCAAGGTGTGGTGTGAGGGAGGAACAGGGAGGCTGAGACCTGCCAGAGTGAACTGGAGTTCTTGTCACCTTCCTGAGGCTTGCAGTAGTTCCGCTGCAGGGGAGGGAACCTCATGACCCCCACCGCAGGAGAGGTCACTTTACCGATAGGGAAACTGAGGCACCCCCAGGTGTGCCTGCATTAGAATGGTGGCTCTGCCACTGGCTGGCTGGGTGGCCTTGCGCAGTAGACTTCACCCTGCCTGAGCCTCAGTTACACTATCTGTAAAATGGGGGTGGCAACGGTCTCCCCCTCAACGGACCTCTGCAAAGTCTCAGAATTCTCACTGTGGCTGCTGATGAAGCCCCCCTCCCCATGGACTCCAGGCTCCTTCAGGCTTGGACTTCTCTTGAAGCTCGTGTGGTGCCTGATGCCACACACTCTGGGGATCCACTCTGGCCAGTTCTGTGACTGTGTGGTGGGGATTTTGCTTTTGCTGGCTTCGCTGTAGACTATTTGGAAAACGCGCGGGCATCTCACTCAAGGGGAGTGGGTATCCTTGGGCACAGGAAGGCCCATTGGTAACCTCTGGCCAATGCCCCATCGTGGCGCACAGCCCTGCAGTTGTGGGGACAACAACCCCTGGTCGAGACAAACCCACAGGACCCAGAGTCCCCAATACCCTTTATTCTTCCACTTCAAACTCCAAGCACAGAGAATGCCTTCACCCCAA